CCGCTCTTGGCCCGAAAAATGGCCATCGAAAAGGTAGTTTTGTATTCATATATTCGATGACGCATGATTGAATTCGATTGAATTCGATGGTAGAGCCTTCAACGCAAGAAGCGCAACCTCAAGCGCCGGCCGCGCAAGAAGCGAACGAAACAGAAGAAAAAGAAGAGAAAGGCAACAGCGTAATCGCATCCCCAAGTGTCCCCAGCTGTTGTGTGCGATCCAGCTACTCGCGACGGGCCTCTCGTCACGTGCAGTATCTTATCGAATGCCAGCTGCACGGGATGGTATTCGCTACAGTGCGTTTAGCGTGGCTACTTGAGCGCTGGCGCAACTCTGTGGCAGCCGTGCATGCGCTACCGTGGTTGCAATGCCAACCAACCAAAAATTCTTTGTGCTCGGGACCGCACAACGAACGTTTTCTATGCACTTTAGTACAATAGCGTTGATACGTTGAAGCAAAGCTTGTTGGACGAGGTCACTGCTACGACATGGAGTGCTTTGCGCGCCTCGTCTTCAGCGCTGATGCGCCACGGTCGTCACCTCGGGATCGGACTCGGATCCTTGCCATCACGCCACCGTCGTCTTGGAGGCGCCAAAAGCCTGTCGACGTGCTCGTAGCGGGCAATGATCGCGATGCCCCAGCCATTACCAGATCGCCACCTCAAGTGCTTTGGGGTAACAGCAACTGTTGGACGGTTTGAACGCCCGTGCAAAGCCGGCATGCGACAAGAGATTTACGTGTCGTCGCCCGCATGACGCCCTCCTCCAAATCGCAACGCTGTTCGTGCTGGGCCACTTCTGCTTTGACACTTTATACGACTCAAGGTCCTCGGGTAAACCGTCGGACGTAGCACTCCCCTTCAAAATCTCTCATCAATACACTGGCTTGGCGTTGACGTGGTGCTGGGTGCCAATGGTACAAGTGTACTGGTACGCGGCGAAGCTCGCGGGAACACCAGAGCGTAACTGGGCTCGTCTGACGTGGCAACATCTTGCAGGATACCATCGACAATCCTGATTGGCTGTTCAAAAATGGATGCACCAATCCAGCGCGCCTGGCGATCCAAAAGTCGCGTTCTACTTCTGGACGTCCATGGCTAGGGGTGCGAAAGAAGGAGCTGCGTCGTGGCTCTCATAGCAATCTTGCTGGCTGGCGCGAGACAGCCGTCTTGAAGCATGTGTGTCTGCAGCCTATGGCGATGCTCTCGATGCGGCCAGAGAATCTCAATTGCGCGTCTGGATGGCCAATCCGAGAGAAAGCATCCCAGGAAGCCCAATGGCACTGGTCGATTACACTGTATTTGCGTCGACCTTTCTCTCCTGCTATTGCTCGTATAGTGCTGTGCTGTGATGGGGATGCTCTTACTAATATCTTAACCCTCCCACGCCGGGAGCCCTATTACAGGCCAAGGGGCCTAAAGCAAGAACGGAGGACCCGCAAAACCGAGCTAAACCTGTTTTGCGCATCCGGGTGATGGGTTAAAGTGCATTCCGGTTGCTACACGTTTTACCGGACGCAAACGGGAAAATGGCGACCGAGCTCGAAGTGCTTGCTGCGGAACTGGCGGCTGTCCAGCAAGAGCTGGCGCAATTGCGATCCTCGACGTCGGAGCGCATCTACAAGCTCAACGAGGAGAACGACGTGCTCGCCGAGGCCAACGAGCTCCTCACGCAAGAGAACGCGCGCCTCCGGGCCGAGCTCGACGCGCTCAAGGCTCTGGAGAGCTCGATGGCCGGCCTCGCCGTCGCCGAGCCAGCAGTGCCCGAAGACCTCTTGACGCCTGGGAGCGGCCTCTACCCGCAGACGGAGCTCGCGTGCATTGAGCAGGCGCATACGCTCAATGTGCTCTCGGTGTCGGGGCATGTGCTGCGTCCGCACATTGTCGCGTCGGGCGCGGTCGACCGCTGCGTCAAGGTGCACGACTATGCGTCCAAGGCGCTCCTTGCGACGTTCGACGCTGGCGCGCCCGTGCTCGCGCTTGCGTTTCACCCGCAGCCGGCGTACGCAGATTACCTCTTGGCCAACTGCATGGACGGCCGCACGTTCGTGCTCAAGCTCGAGGGCGACGCGCTCACGCTCGTGCAGGCCTTCCACGACCACACACGGCAGGGCAACGTGCGCCACGCGTGGCTTTCGACGGGCCTTTCGTTTGTGACGGCGGCCAGCGACAAGACGGCGCACCTCTACCGCTTTGACGCCTCGGCCTTCCTCCTTGCCAAGAGCTACTACTTCAACGGGACCGTCGAAGCACTCGCCGTCGTGCCGGCGTCTGATGCACATGCCGAGCTCATTGCGCTTGCAGTGCGCGACGACTGCTACCTCCACTACGTCGACTGCGCGACGCTGGAGAAGACCCGGTACCATGCCATCGTCCGGTCCTCTTCCACGTGGCTCATGCAAACACGTAGGCTCAACATGAACACGGACGGGATCGAGCACGTCTCGTACACGATCTTGGACTTGCGTACGTCGCCGAGCGGCAAGTACCTCTTGGCCGCCACGGACGCCAACCGTCACTTCGTATTTGAGGTATGCAGAAGCGCACCATGTGGCTACCAACTGTTGGCTCTATACACATCGACAACTATTAGGTCCTGAAGAACGTGGTGCTTCGGAGCTTCTACGGGCACAAGGCCGGACCATACAGCCAGCCGCGCGTGGTGTGGCACGCCTCGGAAAAGTACGTTGTCTCGAACAACGAAGGCGACGGCGTCCTCAACGTCTGGAGCGTGGCGTCGGAGCGTCTCTTGACGCAGTTTACGGCCCACGACAAGCTCATTCGCGACATGGACATTGCGCAAGGCGTCCTCTTCACGGTCTCGTACGACAAGGCGCTCAAGGTCTGGTGCGACG